GCCCCGCCCCGCCTCGCGTCGCCCGGCGCCTGCGGCGAGCACCTGCTGGGCCCCGCCCCTCCCGTGCCCACGTTCTCTGCCTCCAAGTTCGCGCGCACCTGCCAGGACCAGCCCCTCTTTCGCCTACGTGCTCTTTCCCCACCCCATCCCATCCCATCCAATCCCACTCAATCCCTGCATATGCTTAACCACGCCCCCGTCCGCGCCCACCTGCTCGGCCCCGCCCTCTCTGTGCCCACCTGCCCGCCCTTGGCCCCGCCCGCGCTCCCCCAGCTGGGTGGGATGGAAGGCTCTGGGCAAGAGGCAGGTGTAGCGGTTGAAAGCCCCGCGGCGCGGCGCGGCGAGGACAGGGGGTAGGGATAGGGCTTCAGCATCCATTTACCTGCTTTTAGCGGGAGTGGCTGGGTACAAACTGAGCTTCTGGGGCATGCGTGTGGAGGGTGAGCAGGAAGGGTGCCATGAGACACTTGAGGGGCGACCTTCGCTGCACTCCTTCAGCTGCCCCCCAGAAGTGAGACCGAGTGACCCATAGGCCCATTGAGCTTTGCTGGGACAGAGGGGAGTCCATTGCTGGGGCCTTGGGCGGGGTTTGACTCACAGACATGGTGGGCGGAGATGCCAGTCAGGTAATGGGGGAAGGAACGTTGCCCTGCGTCACCCTGGGTCAGGGAGGAGAAAGGGTGCCTTGTCCTCCTTGCCCTCCGGACCTGGTTGCCACTTCGCTCTGTGAGTTTCCTGGGCAGGGTGTGGGCAGCGTGGGTGACCACAGTGGGCCAGCCAGTCTCCTGCACAGCTGTCCGGCTGCCCTGGTGTCCAGGTCCCAGCGGATGGGGTGGAGAGGGGAAGCAAACACAGAAGACTGGACTCTCCTGGACATTGCCCTGGACAGGGGATCTAGCCTAGGGCAAATACCCAGACCCCACCTGTGGCCCCATCCAGATCAGGGCACCCATAATTTATGAGGCCCTTCCCGGTCTTCACTGAGTTCCTTGGTCTGTCCAGAGAGGGTTCCCAGCTCTTCCCCACCCCTGCCCCCCACATCCTAGGGTGCTACCGTACTTCACAAGTGCAGCTGAAAACAAGCAGAAAGCTTGAAACAGGAGCCACGGGGGCTCTGAGAATCACTCAAGATACAAAACAGGCAGAGGGCTGAGAGTAGGGAAGAATTTACCCCTGCAGGGTGGGGGTGGGCAGACACAGAGCAGACATTCAGTAAATTGTTTCTGAATGAATGTGTGGATGAACAGTGTCTACACACGTCCATCCCAAATGAATAAGGAGGAATGGTGGGGGAAGGAAGGAATCATGCTGAACCCAAGGTAGAACTGACTCTGTTCACCCCGAAAATGGATCCGAGGCTTAAAACGTGCAAAATGAAACGAAACCACACGGGTACTGTAAGAATAAATGGGTGGATTCCTCCAAACCCTGGAAGCAGGAAAACATTTCCAACGGTGCCTTGAAATCTAGAAGCGATCGATAAAACTATTTTTTTAAAAATAATAAGGAAACACCATTGTTAGTAAGTTGCTGTGGAGCTGGCTCCCACTCTTGTTGGCTTGTATCCAAAGCAAAGCCAATCAATCGGGACCCAGTTCCACACCATCAGCATGGTTGGCGGTATGTTTAAGTCTGTTATGTCACTGCATCCGTCCATCACGCAGTCCTCGACTTTACCAACTCTGATGTCCTTTTTTCTTTTAATGTTTTATTGTGAATTATGTGATAGTTTACATGGGAGAACATTAGTTTTACATTCATTCTATCGTATATCGTCTCATTGCCATGGTTACAATCCCCTCCATGCAATCCTTCCCCGGTACCCCCCAGGTCTTCAGCACACAGTCGCTCTCCCTCTCTGGATCTAAAGTCTCCAGCTGCTCCATCGCTCCACATCATCATCTCTGGCTCCATTTCAGGCATCACTGCTTCTCTGGGTAGGGTCCTGCTCTCTGCTCTTCTCCCTTGATGGTCCTAGCGACCTCCGCTCCTAGACTGAAAAGTTGAATCACTCCCCTCCTTGCTATAAAACGTCTACCTTTACATTTCCAACCCTCACAATCAGTCCTGATAACAATTATTCACTGTTGTATCACAAGAGACCTCTGATGTCCTTTTGTGGTCATGGGTCCTTCCTGACTAGATGCCCAAAATGAGTGAGGTGAATTCTTCCCAACCTGATTTCTAAGTAGCATTTTGGCTGTATTTCTTCCCCAAACTGGCTTATTCCTTCTTCTGTTTTTCCATGGAATGTTCTGGTGTTCTTTCCCACAATTAAGTGCAAGGAAAACTCGGTTAGAGAAGTATCAAAGGTAAGTGACCAGCTAGGGAAAGGATTTGCAAACAGATGAGGCTGAGTATCACTGAAAAAGGAACAGAAACAGAAGACAGCCCTTTGGAAAGTGGACAAGACTGATGGACAGTTGGCAGACCTGCTCTTGTAAAAAATACACAACTTCACTGGTAACAAGAAATATGTTCATGAGACATACACTTGACTCCACCTCTCACTCGGAATGTACCTGTGACCAGAAGTCTTAGGGGAGCAGGTGCCTCACACATCACAAAGGGATTCCAGCAGGATTAGGAAAAGTGTATGTACCATTTCACGCCACCAGCCCACGGGTCTTAACTGACTCAAGGATACGTGTGGCAGGGAGGGGGAAGGACTCAAACAAGAAACAGTTACTTTGGAGCAGATTCTGACTCATGATCACCCTGCATAGAGTAGAGCTGTGTTAGTGGGCTTCTCAATGAGTGGGTCTTCAGAAACATACCACCAGGCCTTTCTGCTGAAGTACCTCCGGGTGGACTGGACCCTCCAACTTCTCAATTAGTGACTGAACATATTAACCCTTTCCACCACCCCAGGGAGTCAATGGAGACAATAGAAAAGGACCTTTATACCAAGTGTACTTGTTTCCCCGTTGGCACTAAGTTCCACCAACTGGGGGGCTTATACAAGCAGAAATGTAATTCTCACAGACTTTGGGGTGTGGGCAGGGCCATGAGCTCTCTGAAAACTCTAGGGGTGGCCCTTTCTTGTCTCTCCCAACTTCTAGTAACCCAGGTGTTCCTTGATTTGTAGGTATCCCTTCTCATGCCTCTGTCTCTGAGACTCTTCTCTTTGATAAGACACCATTCAGATGGGATTAGGACCCACCCTCCTCCAATAAAGGAGATTTGGTAGCGTAGTGGTTACGAATCGGGCTGCTAATCTCACAGTCAGCAGTTTGAAACTACCAGCTTTTCTGTGGGAGAAAGATGAGGCTTTCTGCTCCTGTAAAGATTTACAGTCTCAGAAACCCTGTACAGGGTGGCTATGAGTTGGAACCAACTCCACGGCACATAACAACAACTCCTCCAGTAAGACCTCGTGTTGACCAATAACATCTTTCAAAACCCTACTTCCAAATAAAGTGAGGTTCGCAGGTACTACGAGTTAGGATTTCAGAGTATCTTTTGGCAGGGGACACAGTTCAACCTATATTGTGGTGGTGGTGGTGGTTAGGTGCCCTCAAGTTGGTTCCAACTCATAGCCACTCTCGGTACAACAGAACACCACGTCGTGCCCTCCTCACAATTGTTGTTATGGTAAAGTCCATTGCTGCAGCCACTGTGTCTGTCCATCTCATTGAGGGTCGTCCTCTTGTTCACTGACCTTCCATTGTACCAAGCATGATGTCCATCTCCAGGGACTTGGTCCCTCCTGAAGACACATTCAAAATACCTGAGACAAAGTCTCGCCAGCCTTGCTTTTGAGAACCATTCTGGTTCCATTTCTTCCAGGACAGATTCGTTCACTCTCCTGGCAATAGTTCAGTATTCTTCATCAACACCAGAATTCAAATGCATGGATTCTTCTCCGGTCTTGCTTACTCCTTGTCCAAGTTTCATGTACATACGAGATGAGTGGAATACCATGACTTGGATCAGGTGTACCTTAGTCCTCCAAGTGACATTCTTATTCTTTAACACCTCTGAACAGGCTTTTTTTTTGTGCAGATTTCGATATCATCTGCTTCTATGGACACTGACTATGGATCCAAGTAAAATGAAATCCTTGACAACTCCAATCTCTTCTCCATTTATCATGATTCTGGTCCAGCTGTGAGGCTTTTTGTTTTCTTGATGTTGAGGTGCAATGCAGTCTTTGATGAATAAATATTTCAAATTCCCTTCAATTTCAGCAAGACTATCACAGGTTGTTCCCGAGTCTCCCCCAAATCCTGATTCCATACGTGTTCTTCTTCATGTAGTCCAGCTTCTTGGAATGTCTGTTCAGCATCCAGACTGAGTTGGTGGAAGGATACAACTCTGATACACACATTTCCAGATTTTAAATCATTCAGTATTTTCTTGTTCTGCTACCATGACGTGCTTCTCGACTCATGTATAGGTTCTGGAATTCCCAGCCTTCACAATGGTAGCCATAGTTTGTTACAGGTCTTGACATAATCAATAAAACACAACTCAACATCATTCTGAGTTTCAATCCATACTGTTGTTAAGTGCTATCCAGTTGGTTCCAACTCATGGAGATCCTGCATATGGTTTTTGAGGCTTTAAATCTCTGTGGGAATAGAAAATCTCATCTTTCTCCTACAGGGCTGCTGGTGAGCTCAAACCGCCAACTTTGTGGTTCACAGTTCAGTGCTTATCTTTCAGGGCCACTGCACTCCCTTTTCAGCCCATAGTAAAAAGCTGACTATTTGTATCAGCAGAAGTCTAGACTGAATCCAAGTGACTGGATTACACTCTGGCACGGCCACACAAGGGAGCCCCATTACCAAAGTTATTACTGCCATTCCAAGGACAGAAAGAGCCCAAAGGAACATCTGGCTAGTAATAACACTGATGTTGCTATCTTGAAATGACAGAGAGATAGCTGTATGTAGTTGTTGGTGGTTGACGGTTGGTGATTATGTGATGTCGAGTCAGTTCCGACTCATAGCGACCCTGTACAGGGTTTCTGAGGCTATAAATCTTTACAGGAGCAGAAAGCCTCATCTTTCTCCCACAGAGCGACTAATGGATTTGAACTGCTGACTTTATGGTTAGTCATTCCACTAGTAACCCACGACACCAGCAGAGCTCGTATATATGTGGTGGTGCAGTGCTTAAAAGCTTGGTCATTAATGAAAAGGTCATGGGTTCAAACCCACCAGCACCAGGGAGAAGATGGGCTTGTCTGCTTCTGTGGGGATCACAGCCTGGGACCCCTATGGGGCTACATCTCTGCCCTGTAGGATCATTAGGGGTCATAATCAACTCAAACACTGTGCATTTTAGGGAATGTGTGTATGTATATGTTATTGTTAAGTGCTGTCGAGTCAGTTCCAACTCATAGTAACCCTGTAGAGGGTTTCCAAGGAGTG